TATGGGGGCGTCTCCAGGTCCCGGAAGCTCTGTGGCTGAATCTTGGACATACGTCTGTACTTGGCTATATCCTCTCGCATCTGAAGGTGTGTGGGGTTTGCTACAAAGAAGGTGTGGGCTGCAGCTGCTGCTAGGTCCAACTTCTTCAGCTGAGAAGCAGGAAGGGGGGAGTCAGTGCCCTGAGGTGGGGGTGTCAGACTCTGCCCTTCGCCAGCCTTTCCCCTCTCCCCACCTCCCAAGAAGCACACACCTGGGTCTGCTTCAGAGCTTTCTGAGAGACTTGTCGGAACTGCCTACCTCTCAATCTCCCTAGACACCAGTATGTTGGGGCTCTCAGAAGTTTGGCAGCTAGGGCAAGGGGTCTGAAGACTTTGGAGTCGATAGGATACGGGTAGAGAGGTCTCAGTTTGGGAGAGAAGGTGAAAGTGATGCCTAAGTGAGGTGGTAAACGGGGGAGACCTGAGTGACCAACAAAACCCGCAGGTCTCTAGGACCCTGAGCTGAGGTGTGTGACCAGCAATCCCCCCACCCCCAGCCACGTAGACAACAGCTACTGTTCCAGTAGCTGCGCCAGTGTCCACTGTCACCCCTCCTCTGTCACCCCCAGACACCCAGCCCGCGGCATGGCCCCACTCCTTTGAGCCTCCTGAAGCTCCCTTCTGCCTCCTCACTCACCCGGCCCACCACATACTTCCCGTCCAGTGGCGCGTTTCGCCCCCTACCCGCTCCGCTTCATCCCAAGGAAGAGGCGGCGCTCACTCTCACGTAGTAAGACCGGCTAAGATTTCAGCCCCCGCTCCCTCCAGCTTCGATCTACTTCTACCCGGCTTCGTGACCCCTCCCCGCCCCGCATTCCAACTTTGCTCGCACTCTCCCTTAAGCTGTCTCTCTACGACTTCAGCGGATACTGGATGTGATTTTGTAAGGGTCTATCGAAAGGAGAGGGCCGTCGACCGCCCCCCACAGCCCCACCCGAGCCCTGGTACTGGCATTCCTCCCCCTCCTGGGGAGCGAAAGTAGGACAGCGACGTGGATCGGGTCAGGACCCCGCAAACGGCCTGGGCGGCTGGCGCACCTGGTAGTAGGCCCTCTGCAGGTAGTTGTAGGGCTCCCGGCGGCGGAAAGCGTCCCGAAGCGATCTCCCCAGG